GACCGCGAACGTGCAGCGGCGGTCGGCGCACCCCGGGGCGCTGGGCTCCCCGAGGACCAGGGGGCTGAAGGGGGCGCGCGTCTGGGCGGCGGGCGACGCCTGGGAAGCGCGAGGCCGAGCGGGGGCCCCCGTTTTGGAGGAAGCGAGTTGGAGGGTCGAGGGTGGCTGCCCCGAGGGGCACCCAGAGGTCAAGCCGTCGCGGGAGCCGTGGTCGGCGGACTGGCGCGGCCTTCCAGCGGACCTGCGCCGCCGGCTGCACGTGGGGCGGAGTGGGACCGTAGGTGGCGTTGGGAAGCTGCGGCGCGATCTCGGAAGGCAGATGTCTGTCCTGACGCGCATCCCGGTGCTAGCCTGTGGAGGAAGCGCACGGTGACCCAAAGAGGATTACAGCTGTCCGTTCTAGACCTGCTTCCATTTTAGTTGGGACTGTTAAAGGGAAATGGTTGCACCCTGTTGGTGTGGTGAGTGTGGCCAGTGGAGGCCGGAACAGGAGCAAGACACAGGGGAGTCGGTTGCCTAATACTATTTTGAGGGGTGTGTGGCCCCCTAGGAAAGCGCTAAGGCGAGTGCAGTGTAGTGGGTGTTCGCTAGCCGTGGGGAGGAGCTGAAAAGGTGAAACCGGACGACAGGGCAGGAGGTGCGGGGTGGAAGAGTGTCTCCGCCAAGCGTGTGGAAACACCCAAGGCAGCACATCCCTTTTTATCAGGCGTTTGTGTTTTCCTTCAGAATTCTTAATTGCCATCCCCCCACGGTTCTCCTACTACCTTTTATACTTTTTTCTAAACACTTTAAAGTTGAGTAAATTGAGAATATGGAGGGTGTGCAGAATTAAAAACACCTCCTACCTAACCTGTTTTTATATTCACGGAATTAAACTCTTCACTTTTTTTTCTTTTTTCTTTTTTTTTCCTGGTACAGGGAATCGAACTCACCACCTCACGCTTGCCCGGCAGGCGCTGTGCTGCTGGAGCTACATCCCCAGCTCTTTCATTTTTTTCAGTACACTTCAGTAAGCCAGTACCGGAGCTTACTAGATGACGTGCACTCTGGTGTGTTTGTGGGCACGATGGGGTTTGCACGCAGTAGTTGAGTTAATTGTAGGGGCTAGCGTTGGACCCAGGTTCACAAATATAGTATAGAGTAATAGAGGTTTGAAAGTAGTGTGAAGAAGGTTTGAAGGTGGGAAGCTAATTGCATGGAGGGATTTAGGAACATTATTGTGCAAAGTAAAGAATGTTGTTGGTAATGGCATTAGAGAGGTGACAGTGTATCCTTAGGCCTGTATAAGCATTCACATTTTACTTGTTATTAGGAAGATATGCACATGAAACTTAGAAAAGGGCCTGATTTTGTTGATGTTAAGTTAGATGAGGAAATTGAAACATATAATTAAAAATATAAGGAGCATCGAGAAAGTAATGCTATGGTGGAGAAGTTTGTTCCAGGGTAAAGAAAGAAATGGTCTTGAAAAAACAATGTATATTAACCCCAAAGCCTTGTGGATGTGGCAGGATGTGAAAATTTCAAAGCCGTCTTTGGGACTTCTGGAATTTCAGATGGACTTGAGGCAGGAGACAGGTGCCCCCGGAGCCCATCTGAAGTGCGTGATAACACTCAGATGACTCATCTGAAGAATGAGCAGGCTCTGGTGAACACTTAAACTGTGAAGAATGCACAGTAGACTTAGGACTTACCCCAAATGAATAAAAAAGCCTAGTGTTAGCTTTGAAGGGTGCAGATGGGAGGCTGTGTGGTTGAACTTAGTTGACCGAGAAGGTGTTTCTTTGCTTACCAATGTTGAAGATGTATTGGTGTAGGTTAGCTGAATCACTATTTACAAAATTGTGGCCTTCAAATTTTTTGACTACTATCCCAGTAAGCTAGATATTTTACAACACAGAAAAATCTTGTATTTAATATTGTGACCCACTAAATTGGTTTCACATTTGACTGTGAGTCATGACACAGTTTGAAAAACTTATGGGCTAAGTGTAAGCTGCTGTTTATTTAGTACTTGTTCTGTGCCTTCTACTCTGCTACATATTTACTTGGAGAAAAGCAAGGTGCTGCTTACAAATGGAAGGCAGTAAAAAGGAATACAGTATTTATGTAGTCTGGCTGGGAAAGGGATACCAAAGTTAAGGCTCAGTTTCTCCTCTGCAAGTCCTTTATTCCAGGATGTACAGTCAGCTATCCTGTCAGAATTTTCCATTGATAGGTTCAACCAACTGGGGTTCAAAAGTAGTTTTTAAAAAAATTGAGTATACCACATACAGACTTTTTCCTTTCCATTGTGCCCTGGACAATACAGTATAACAACTACTTACATAACATTTACATTGTATTAAGTATTGTAAGTAATCCATAGATAATTTAAAGAATGAGAATGTGTGTGTAGGTGATATGCAAATATGGCACATGTTTTACATAAAAGACTTGGGCATCTGCAGATTTTTATATCCTTGGGAGACCAGGAACCAACTCCCTAGATACTGAGAGACTGTTACCCATATTCAGAAAATTAGCAGTACAACCTGTGTGGCCCCTGGCAGGTACAAAATGCCTAATCACAGAAGTTGGACTTTCTTAGGGGGAGCCAGGGCACTGGGAATCGAACTCAAAAACTTGGGCTTCCCAGGAAGGCGCTTATGCCTCTGAGCTATACCCCCAGCCCTGAAGTTGGCTTCTAAAGTGAGTAGGAGATGGGAGCAAGATGTTGAGAGAGACCAGAGAAACAGTGAAAGCCTGGTTTTGGAGGAGGGTGATCTACCTGACAAGAACGGGAAACTAAACCTGAGTAAAGCATTTAACCATACAGTTTGCCTTATCTTATTTAGTAAGTGAGTGAGTGAGTTAGTGAGTGAGTGAGTGACTGACTGACTGACTGACTGACTGACTGACTGAGACAGGGGTCTCACTATGTATTTCAAACTAGCCCTGAATTCATTTTGTAACCCAGGCTGACCTCAAACTCACAGCAATCCTCCAGCCTCAGCCTCGCTAGTGTTGTGTACTATCATGGGCAGCTGTCTTACCTTGTTTATAAAGTTAAAGATCTTAGTTAAACTGAAGCATTGAAAGATTTGCCAGGTGTGGTGGTGCATGCCTATAATCCCTGACAAGATTGGAGCACTCTGGAGGGTGAGGCAGGAGGATTGTGGTGAGTTTGAGACCAGCATGATCTATATGGCAGGACCCTGGCTCAAAAAAAAACAAACCAAAACAAAAAATTGCAAGATTCCTCAAAGTACTGCTATCTCTGACTGTTTGCCATAGAGTCACATTGTATGCTTGTTAAGTGAGTAGATTTCTAAGTTTTACCAAGGATTTTCCTCCTTTTTTTTTTTTTTCTTTTGGTACTGGGAATTGAACTCAAGACCTTGCGCTTACCAGACAGGCACTGTGCTGCTGAGCTATATCTCTGACCCCTTACCACGGATCTTGAAAGTTCAGATTCTGAATTTAGGTCTGGAGAATCTGCTTTTTGTTTGATTCTTACTTTGATTTGAGGTGGGTCTGGCTCAGTTGCCCAGTGTACACTTGAAGTCTAGGGCTCAAGTGGTTCTCCTGTCTGAGTCTCCAGTGTAGCTGAGACTATAAGTATGTATGCCTCTGCACTCAGCTTGTAGGAATCTGCATTTATAACAAACTTTCTTGGTAATCCTTGCCCATTACTGAAATAGAGCTATAAGATCCCTATTATAAGACATACATTTTAGAATATTAAGTAGTTGGGTGGGGTACAGAATGTCACTGTATAGGCCACGCTGGCCTGCATAGTGATCCTCGTTCCTCTGCCTCCAAAGTGCAAGGATTATAGGTGCAGTCTGTCCTTGGTTTAAAGTCTACTTTAATGCAAATGGGTTCAGTGATACAAACCACTGCAGTTTATTTAAAACGATGTTTCATCTTTCTCAGCATGTTTTGCTTATTTTACTTCTATTCCATTGTTTTTTGTTTTCTTTTAACTCATTCCAAATTTTTCAACCCTCATGTTCAAATTTTGTTTCTAATAGTTTATTTAGAGAATAGGTGGTATTTAGCTTTTAACATTTTCATTTATTTCAGTCTCTTGGTAAGCACATTTTGAAATTCTTTTTATCAATTTGGTTTTTATCCCTTAATCTTGCCTACATCTTTTAGGCTATGAATTGCAGATATTCCACTTATAAAACCAGGATAAGGAGGATACTTTCAGGATAAGGAGGATACTTGGGTTAGTTTAATTCTTGGATTGAAGGGAAGAGTCTGAAGATTGAACCCAGAGTGTCACACAGGAGCTACACTTGATCTTTGCCAAAAGGCTGAGAAGCGATCGTACAGGAGCTACATCCCTAGCCCTTTTTTATTTTTTATTTTGAAGTTGCCCATGCCGGGTTTGTATTTGTAATCATCCTGCCTCAGTCTCCCTTGCCTGCCTAGTTCTTGACATTTTAAAAAATCTTTATCTTTTATGTATTTTCATGGCACTTTAATTTAATGTAGATTTCAAACAACTGCTCACTATTTTTTCACTTGGCTTTTAATCTGATAAGTTGTGTAGGTCTCAGGTAATTGGTCTTTAACAGTTGTGACTTTGAATTTCAGCACATAATCAGGGTCAATTCCAAAGATAATTCATTTTAAGGAGCAATTACTTGTATGTTAGTGTATGAATTTTTCCTAAAGATTTGCCATAGTATAGTTTCATTTTCTTGTTTGGTTGTGTATAATCTTGTCCAGTGCTTGGCACTCAAAAAATAATTATTGAATTATACAGCCTGTTTTATTCTTCATGCTAGAGTATATGT